GCATAGTCAGAGGAGAGCGAAGGTCTGATAAATCGAAGGAGTCAGTCGAGGCCTCAGTACCTGAAGCGGGTGAGGAAACAGCACCGGCAATAGGTACAGAGGCATGAGGAATGTCTGAAGAGTGGTCCAAAGACGAGGCGGGGTCAGAACGGGGTGCGGTATCAAGAAGGGGCCCGGGGCACCAGGTTCATGGACTAGGGCTGCCATGGTTAGGTTACTTCTTTCTTTTTGTTTTTAAGAAAAAAAAAAGAAAGAAGAAAAGAAAATAAAAATAAAAAAAAGAAAAAAAAAAGGGGGGACCGGGGAGGGATAGTTCCTAGGAGGAATGAAAGGGCCAGAAATCTCCCTCCGCGCCCAAGAGGACTCGACACCGCTAGTAGCGCAGATGCAGCATGGAACCCGTGCCATACCCTACCCTTCATGCCAGTAAACCAGCAATCTGGGATAGCAACCTCACATCTGCCGAGCTACCTCGGTGGACAAAAGAGAGGGCGGCCGGATATCCGCCACAAAGCATACCTCCTTCAGCCACCACCCCCGGAATCCGAAAGGTGGCTTCCAGAGATACACCCGTCGCCCAAAAGACACCCAAAGCTACTCCGGGATACCGGAGAGGGATCGGGACATCCCTAGGCAATCCAGATTCCACGGCAAACTATGCCACCGCCAAGAAACCTCAACGGAATGGGATGGACCCCGGTGTCCTTTCCCCTACCTAGGAACTAGCGCGCCTGTGGGAGAAATCACGAAGGCTAAAAAGAGGAAGGGCAAAAGGGAGGGGTGAGGAGGAGGAGGAGGAATGGAAAAAGGGGAGGATGGGGAGGATGGGATAGGGGAGGGGAGAATGGGGGGTAATTAGGTTCGGTCTGAGGAAGAAGACCGACAGGGCTAATTCCTCAGACCAAGAGCCTCTTCACCACGCCAAGGAGCCCCCCTTGAAGAGGACTCATTCAAGTAGACCTGGCAACGGCGAGAATATGAAGGGAGAGCCTCATTACAATTAAGGCAAGATGGAGGTTGACTGCAAGATGTATTAGAATGGTTGTTGGCACCACAGACTGGGCATTCGGCTATAGATCTGCAATATTTCACTGGGTGACCAAAATACCAGCAATTTCTATACTGTTGCGGTGTAGGGATCACCTTTCGAACTTGTAACCGATGTCCCGCCACATAAACAGAGGACGGGAGTTCACAGCTGTTGAAAGTTAATCGAGCCACATTGCAAGGGTAACGTCTCCGCCTGCAGGCAGGAAGGACATAAGTGTCTACTTTGAGGATTGGGAGATCATGGAGTTCCAGCTGTTCAAAAATGTCATTGCCACATGACTTGAAATTCTGTTGGACTATGGTATGGGGCAGAATGACAGTACCACTACAAGAATTGAGAGAAAGATGTTTTTCAAGTGATAGTAGTAGTACCGATATGCGAACTATGGACAGTGTCGATGCACATACCGCTCTTGAGAGCATGAAATGAAATATCTGTACCAACATGGCACAGGAGCGCTTTGCCAATACTATGGTCAGAAAGATAGGCAGAAAAAGAAGTCAGTCTTAAGGTAAAGAATTTAGTTCATTGTGTGATCCTAAACTGAGCATGGAGAGGAAGTGCATGAAGTGTCGGTCTTTTCCGAGTAGAATGGGAAGGTACCAAAGGAACATCATCAGGAGATTGTTGTTGGCATTTAGGAGTAGGACCAGAGTTTGGTCCATCGTGAAATGGGCTGGCGATTCGAAAATTGCCGTACCGTAAGGGAAAGGCCGAAAGCAGAGTCAAAGGAGAATGGAAGTCAGACAAATCGAAGGTACCTGAAGCGGGTGAGGAAACAGCACCAGTAAGAGGTACAGGGGCATCAGGAGTGTCGAAGAGTGGTCAAAAAACAAGGCAGGGTCAGAATGGGGTGTGGTATCAAGAAGGGGCCCGGGGTAGAGGGTTCATGATTGGATTCTCCATGGTTAGGTCACTCCTTTGCTTTTTGTTTTTTAAGAAAAAAGAAAAAAGAAAAGAAAATAAAATAAAAAAAGAATAAAAAAAGGGGAGAGCTGGGAGGAATAGTTCCCAGGAGGAATGAAAGGGCCAGAAATCTCCCTCCGTGCCCAAGAGGACCTCAGCACCGCTAGTAGCACAGATGCAGCATGGAACCCATGCCATACCCTACTCTTCATGCCAGTAAACCAGCAACCCGGGGATAGCAACCTCACATCAGCCGAGCTACCACGGTGGACAAAAGAAAGGGTGGCCGGATATCTGCCACAAAGCATACCTCCTTCGGCCCACCACCCCAGGAATCTGAAAGGTGGCTTCCAGAGAGACACCCGTTGCCTGAAAGACACCCAAAGCCACTCTCCGGGATACCGGAGAGGGATCGGGACATCCCCAGGCGATCCAGATTCCACGGCAAACTACAACCACCGCAAAGAACCTCAACGGAATGGGATGGACCCCAGTACCCTTTCCCCTACCTAGGAACTAGGCACCTGTGGGAAAAATCCAAAGGCCAAAAGAGGAAGGGCAAAAGGGAGGAGTGGGAGGAGGAGGAGGAAAGGGAAAAGGGGAGGATGGGGAGAATGGGATAGGGAAGGGGGGATTGGGGGGTAATTAGGTTCAGTCTGAGGAAGGAGACCAACAAGTCTAATTCCTTAGACAAAGAGCCTCTTCACCACGACAAAGAGCCCCCCTTGAAGAGGTGTGAAAGAAGAGAAAGATCATGAGCTTGGGTAGAATTCTGGACTGTGATGATGGGCGCACCACTCTTAAGAGCATGAAAGGAAATATCTCTACCAATGTGGCGTAGGAGTGCTTTGCCAATACCATGGTCAGAAAGATAGGCAGTAGAAGAAGTCGGTCTTAATGTAAAGAATTTAGTCCATTCTGTGGTCCGAAACTGAGTGAGGAGAGGGAGTGCATGACGTGTCGATCTTTTCCAAGTAGAATGGGAAGGTAACGAAGTAACATTATCAGGAGATTGTCGTTGGTGTTTAGAAGTAGGACCAGAGGCAGTCTGACGTGAGACGGGTTGGCGATTCGAAAATTGCCGCACCACAGAGGGAGAGGCTGGAAACATAGTCAAAGGAGAGTGGAGGTCAGACAAATCGAAGGAGTCAGTCGAAACCCCGGCACCTGAAGCCCGTGACGAAACAGCACCAGCAAGAGGTACAGGGAAAAGGATTCAAAGGGGGGCCAAGGAACAAGGGGGCGGGGTGGCATAAGGGGCCCGGGGGGGGGGTATTCTATATTTGGGAATTTTTTTTTTTTTTTAAAAAAAAAAAAAAAAAAAAAAAAAAAAAAGAAAAAAAAGGGGGGGGGGGAAAATTCCCGGGGAATGAAACCAAAATTCCCCCCCATGCCCAAAAACCTCACCCCCCCCCCCCCCCCCCCCCCCCCCCCCCCCCCCCCCCCCCCCCCCCCCCCACCCCCTCCCCCCCCCCCCAAAAAAAACCTTCTGCCAAAAGAAACCTTTAGAACCCCCCAAATCCGAAAGGTGGCCCAAAAACAAAACCCCGAAAACCCCCAAAACCCCCCCGGGATCCAAGGGGCGGGAACCCCCAATAAAAACCCCAGAAAAACCCCCCCAAAAACCCCAGAAGGGATGGACCCCCCCCCTTTTCCCCTCCAGAACAGGGGAAAAAGGGAAAAGGGGGGGGGGGGGAAAAAAGGAAAAAAGGGGGGTGGGAAGGGGGGGGGAAAGGGGGGAAAAGGTTTGGGTTTGGGAAGGGGGGGTTTGGGGGTTTTTTGGGGCCCAAGGGCCCCTCTTCACCAGGCCAAACCCCCCCTTAATTGAAGAGGTGGGGGGAAGTCCCCGGCTGGTTTTGGGGAAGTACACTGGCTGGTTTTGGGAAGTACCCGGGCTGTTAGGGGAAACCCCCCGGGGTTGGGGGGAACCCCGGGTTTTTTTTTGGGGGAAACCCAAAAAACCCTTACCACCACCACTTTCTCTTTTACAAACTTTTTCATGAAAATCATAGTGTTTTTCACCCCATTTCCACAGAGCGGCACTAGAAAATTTTTTGGGCCCATGGGCTTATTAAGCAGTTACAACATAATAACAATGAATATGCAAAAATATACACACCTCCACTTTGGTATTGGGTAAAAAGTTTTTTTCTTGAGTTCCCTACTTTCTTTCCTTTTTGACCAAAGGCCTGGCATGGGGGTTTTTTTTGGCCCAAAGATGGGTTATTTTGCAGTTGCAAGGCACAAACAACAATCGTTATTATAAATTTTTGTATGAACCCATGGGGGGAGGTCACTCACTAATAAACAATGGCACCTGATGTGAATGGGGGGACACTGGGTTTGTGTGTCGTGTGCTGGGGTCCGCTTCTTGGATGCTACCAACGGTCACTGAAAAAAAGGCCAATCACGAACCAGAGGCTATATTTTTTCCCCCCCCAAAAAATTGCAGAAAGTCAATTTCACGAAAACGTGGCCGCCAAAAGGCGGGTTTCCCCTATACTTGTTACTTTCCTTGACTTATTTCCATCAAGCACTTGTCGAAGAATTTTTCAAAAAATTTTCCAGTTCATTTGCAGTGTCGTCAAACTGAGGGGGATTGGGTGCCAATCCCAGATGCAGTTTGCTGGTGGATACTGGTTGTGGTTGTAGTTGTGGTTGTGGTGTGGGGGTGGTTGACATTTCCACTTTGTCCTAGATCTGAGAGTCAGCGTGTGGGTCTCAGCTGGGCTGGTGCGTCATGCTGTGAGCCCGTGGAAACCACCACCACCATTACCACTACCTACTGATGCCTGTGGTCTATCCATCCCAAAGTGTAGCCACATCATCCTTACTTTCACTGTCAAATTCCGGGTTTTAGGGCCATAAGATGTAGTACAGAATGTACCCCGTCCCTTTGGAATTGCATATGGTACACTACCCAAGCATATGTGGTGGCAAATATACTGACGCTTCACTGGTGAATATGATTCATTACTAGCACTACTCAAATGGTCATCAAGAGCAATAAAATCAAAGTCCAAATCACTATCATCACCATTACTCATGCCTGAGGCCTGGCCATGCGAAAACATTAGTTTTCTCTTGCAATAAGGTACAGCTGAACGTGACTGAGACACACCAACACCCAAGGTGGAAGGTTGAGGGTCGTCAAGATTTTCGGCACTATTTTCAATATCATGAGCATTGCTTTGGGTCACAAATTGATCAAAACAATAGAATTCCTCTTCAGATCCACTTCTATCGATGCCAGAACTATCAGTTAGGAAGAGGAGAGCCCCAATTTGCCTCGGAGTGAGAGCTGCCTTGCCAGGAGGCCAGGAGGCACACTGAGGCGGCGTTCCCACAATGCCATGTTGGGCACCTAGATTTTTCTGTATAACTGTGCACACTGACCAAACAGACCCATTCTCATAGATGTACACCTACCAGCCTTCTCGTGCTAAATTTGAGGCTGCTAGAATTTTGGCGGAGTTCTATGGTTTGGACCCTGGCTTCAAATTATCATGGGGGATCACTAAAACCCATAGGATTATGCAGCATTTGTGGGGATGGAAGGCATTCAGACTTAATTCAGGGAACCGGAGCACAGATCCAATTCCCTAGATCAAGAGCCCCTCACCAGCATCAAGAAACCTCCTTTGAAGGGTCCTGGCTTCAAAGCCATAGAACTATGGCACAGACCCTGAAAGGTTTAGGCCTCGAGTACCGAGGTTCCACTGTATCTCTTGTATGTATTCGCATATGTCTCACAAGATGTCCTTTTTCAGAAAAACATTTCAGACATTCTGAGCACTGAAATGGTTTTTCTCCTGTATGTACTCGCATATGTGAAACAAGATGGCCTTTGAGAGTAAAACATTTCAGACGCTCTGAACACTGAAAAGGTTTAACTGCTGCATGTATTCGCACATGTGTCAGAAGATGGCTTTTTTGAGAAAAACATTTCAGACATTCTGAACACTGAAATGGTTTATCTCCTGTATGTACTTGCGTATGTTTCACAAGAGTGCTTTTTTGAGTAAAACATTTCAGACATTCTGAACACTGAAATGGTTTATCTCCTGTATGTACTCGCATATGTCTCACAAGACTTTGTTTTCGACTAAAACATCTGAGACACTCTGAACACTGAAACGGCTTATCTCCTGTATGTATTAGCATATGTGACACAAGATAGCCTTTTTCAGTAAAACATTTCAGACATTCTGAACATTGAAATGATTTATTTCCTGTATGTACTCGCATATGTCTCACAAGACTGTTTTTTCGACTAAAACATCTGAGACACTCTGAACACTGAAACGGCTTATCTCCTGTATGTATTCGCATATGTGACACAAGCTTGCCTTTTTCAGTAAAACATTTCAGACATTCTGAACATTGAAATGATTTATTTCCTGTATGTACTCGCATATGTCTCACAAGACTGTTTTTTCGACTAAAACATCTGAGACACTCTGAACACTGAAACGGCTTATCTCCTGTATGTATTCGCATATGTTTCACAAGGCTGCCTTTTTCAGTAAAACATTTCAGACATTCTAAACACTGAAATGGTTTATCTCCTGTATGTATTCGCATATGTGACACAAGCTTGCCTTTTTCAGTAAAACATTTAAGACATTCTGAACACTGAAATGGTTTATGTCCTGTATGTATTCGCATATGTTTCACAAGACTGCTTTTTACAGTAAAACATTTCTGACACTCTGAACACCAAAATGGTTTATCTCCTGTATGTCCACGTGTGTGTTTCACAAGATGACTTTTTACAATAAAACATTTCAGACATTCTGAACAATGAAATGGTTTATGTCCTGTATGTATTTGCATATGTGTCACAAGACTGCTTTTTACAGTAAAACATTTCAGACATTCTGAACACTGAAATGGTTTATGTCCTGTATGTATTCGCATATGTCTCACAAGACTGCTTTTCACAGTAAAACATTTCTGACACTCTGAACACTGAAATGGTTTATGTTTCTGCATATTTTTCAAAAGAAGTTACTTCATTTTAAAATATTTTAGTCATTCAACATTGGTATAGTTAATCTTTTTTATGTACTCTCAAGTGTATTTCAAGATTTAGTCTTTTTGGTAAACTTTTTCTACCAATGAGCACTAATAAAGTTTATTTTCATCTTTAAAGACTACTATGATTTTTTTGTGTGTGTTAGAAGACTAATATACATACTACAACACTGTATATATGTACTACAACACTGTATATATGTACTACAACACTGTATATATGTACTACAACACTGTATATATGTACTACAACACTGTATATATGTACTACAACACTGTATATATGTACTACAACACTGTATATATGTACTACAACACTGTATATATGTACTACAACACTGTATATATGTACTACAACACTGTATATATGTACTACAACACTGTATAATAGTACTACAAACACTGTATATATTACTACAACACTGTATAATATGTACTACAAACACTGTATAATATGTACTACAACACTGTATATATGTACTACAACCGTATAAGTACTACAACGTATATATGTACTACAACACTGTATATATGTACTACAACACTGTATATATGTACTACAACACTGTATATATGTACTACAACACTGTATATATGTACTACAACACTGTATATATGTACTACAACACTGTATATATGTACTACAACACTGTATAAATGTTCTACAACACTACAAATGTATTACAACACTCTATATGTACTAAAACAGTGTATATATACAGAAGAATATTTTTATTCTTTTCTCTTGTGTTTAAAAACAGATTTGTTTTAAATTTTAACTACAGTATTACTAAATTGAATTTTTTGATGAATTGTCATACAATTTTTTGATAGAATTTTAATTATGAAAACAAAATTGTTATAATTAGTAATATCTGGCCAGTCAAAAATTCATAAGAATCACAAGTGTTGCCCTTCTCATAGTAAAAAAGATATATTGTCTGGGAAGATACAGCCTGGTAGTGTTCCACAAAACACTTCTGCAATATCAGTTGTTGTTGAAGACACTTAACACTGGTACTTCTTGAAGTACTGAAGATATAGTGTCTGGGAAGATACAGCCTGGTAGTGTTCCACAAAATACTTCTGAAATAGAAACATGAGAGAGTTTAGTACAATATTCCACCAATTCATGAAATATTACCACCTGAACCATTACTTCTTATATAGATTTTGTGTGCCATTTCAAGATAATTTTACGTAACTTTACTCCACCTTACTACCTCATATTTATATTAAGTTTAAATAAATTGTAAAACAGTTAACCACTACTTCTTGTCTGGTTTTAAGTACAGTTACTATGTACTTATTATCTTGTCTTGTTTTAATTAGTACTATGTATTAGGATTAGTTTGCTCAAAATGCCCCGGCATGATAGAGGCTCTCTTTGTACTTAGCAAAACAAAATTGTGATTACACATTGTAACCTTTACAAAGAAATAAGCTTACCTATCTATCTATCTATCAAGCACCAACACAATATACTGAAAAGAAAACAATTTTTTTTTATTATCACATGATGTGCAAAAGAAAACCGTCACATTTACATTTTTAACCCTTTGAGGGTCCATGCTGTAGTTCTACAGCTTTGAAGCCAGGGTCCATATCCTAATTCTATGTGATGAGCTCAGCTCACTCAGGTAAGCTGTTAGCAGTAAATTTGGGCCTAGATATGAGAGAATAGGTCGAGGCAGTAAGTGTGCACCACATAAAACAAACCCTTCAGCATACAGTGCATAGGAGAAAAAAAATTGTGACCATGTACAGTGGACCCTCGGTTATCAGCTTTAATCCATTCCAGAAGCTCAGCCTAAAAAAAAAAAAGGCCAAAAACCAAAATAATATTTCCCATAAGAATTAATGGAAATACAATTAATCTGTTCCAGACAAAAATATTCATAAAAAAAAAAAAATTTAACAATTACAGTGGACCCTCAGGTAATAGCATTAATCCATTCCAGAGAGCTTGCTTTTAACCAATTTTGACATTAGCTGATTTAATTTTACCCATAAGAAATAATGGAAATCCAATTAATCCATTTCAGACATCCAAAAGTATTAACAAAAAATATTTTTTTAATGATTAAATGGGAGTGATCATGTCGGAGGATCTCACCTTCAAGGACCATAACATTGTATCAATCGCATCTGCTAGAAAAATGACAGGATGGATAATGAGAACCTTCAAAACTAGGGAGGCCAAGCCCATGATGACACTCTTCAGGTCACTTGTTCTATCTAGGCTGGAATATTGCTGCACACTAACAGCACCTTTCAAGGCAGGTGAAATTGCCGACCTAGAAAATGTACAGAGAACTTTCACGGCGCGCATAACGGAGATAAAACACCTCAATTACTGGGAGCGCTTGAGGTTCCTAAACCTGTATTCCCTGGAACGCAGGAGGGGGAGATACATGATTATATACACCTGGAAAATCCTAGAGGGACTAGTACCGAACTTGCACACGAAAATCACTCACTACGAAAGCAAAAGACTTGCCAGACGATGCACCATCCCCACAATGAAAAGCAGGGTGTCACTAGCACGTTAAGAGACCATACAATAAGTGTCAGGGGCCCGAGACTGTTCAACTGCCTCCCAGCACACATAAGGGGGATTACCAACAGACCCCTGGCAGTCTTTAAGCTGGCACTGGACAAGCACCTAAAGTCAGTTCCTGATCAGCCGGCTGTGGCTCGTACGTTGGTTTGTGTCAGCAGCAGCAACAGCCTGGGTTTATCAGGCGCTGATCCACCAGGGAGGCTGGTCACGGACCGGGCCCGGGGGGTTGACCCCCGGAACTCTCTCCAGGTAAATCCAAAGGGAACATACAGAAACAAAGACAAAAAATTTTAAGTAAAAAA